CAGTGTTGCAATACCTGCAGTTTTGTTGCCTGGCGGGCGGTGCAGGTCTGAACCCTGCCCAAAGGGTGCCCAGGCCGATTTGCAGGGTGCTGGCAGGGCCTGAGACGGGCAGACAGGGCCTGGGGGCAGCAGCGGGGACACCGGTTCCCGTGAAGGACCCCAGCTTCTGCTGCATCTGCAGGGCAAGAATGGCCCCAGGAGCAAGCAAGGAGCCTGGGGGAGCTGTACTGTGTGGGGCACGGCACCCCCGTCCTGTGGGGCTTCAGCACAGAAAGCTACGAAGGAACAGAAAATGTGCAGAAAAAAAAAGGAGAAATTAACCAAAAAAAGGGACCAAAAAGGAGCCCAGCAAGACCACGGTCATCACCGAGGGCCATGGGCTCCTGGGGGGTGAAGAACAGGAGCCCCTCTGAGCTGGGGTCCAGGGCCTTCCCCTCAGGACCCAGCTCAGCTCGAGAACCAGGCTCTGACCTGGAGCCTGAGTCTAGAACCATAGAGTGATCTAGAACCGAGTCTAGAACCAAAGTGATCTGGAACTTGATCTAGAGCCACAGGTGACCTAGAACCGTGGTGTGGGCTGGAGCCGGCTCCAGAGCCAAATAAGTGGTTCTGTGGTCCTGCAACACCCATAAGGCCTGAAACTGAGAGTGAGCAAGAGTTAGAACTCAGTCCTGAACCAACGGGATGGCTAAACCATGACCCCACCACAAAACAAACTCCCACCCCAAAACGGGATCTAGAACCAGGAGGTGAGTCTAGAACCCGCTCTAGAACCATACAGTGATCTAGAACTTGATCTAGCCCCACGAGTTATCTAGAACATGCTCTAGAACCAGAAAGTGATCTAGAACCTGGTCTGGAACCACCCAGAGCTAGGACATGAGCTGGAACCACCTCCCTATCAGACCCCACACAAGTCTTATGGGGAGCGGCTGTGGGAACTGGGGGGTTCAGCCTGGAGGAGGCTGAGGGGGTACAGCTCCTGAAAGGAGGGGCAGTGTTTTGGGGTCGGTCTCCCCAGGAACAAGCGATGGGACTTGGGCTCAGGTTGACCCAGGGGAGGGTTTGGCTGGGTCTGAGGGAAAGTTTTTTGCCAGAAGGGTTGCGAGACGCCGGGACGGGGCTGTGGTGGGGTCTCCATCCCTGCAGGAGATGGGGCTGAGGGCCGGGGTTTGTGCTGGACGTGGCGGTGCTGCATTAACGGCTGGACTCGGTGATCATGAAGGACTTTTCCAACCTAAGCGATGCTGTGATCCTGTGATCGGGGGCTTATTTAGGATGAATTATTCATTCTCCCTTCCCATGTTCTGGGCTCTGTGAGAGCCGTGGGTGAGGGTCCCAGCAGGCAGCACCCAAACCATCCCAGGTCTGCGGGTGTGTGGCTGTGGCGTGGTGCTGTCAGTATTTAGTGAGATCTCGGGTAACTAAAGGGGGAAGCGTGCAGGTTTTGCTGAAGGAATCTGAAAGCGCCTTCGCACAGTAATTAAGGTTTTAGTGGATCTTTTATGTTGCACGCAGGGTCACTGCAGGCCCAGTCTGCCCCTTAACAACAGACTCTCATGGTGTTTTTATTGAGTTATTAATTGCAGAGTGCGAAAGGTGCAGCGGGCCTGTGAAAACACCAACGTTTACAGGTCGAATTAGGCCTGCTGCTGGCCAGATGCTGGCCAAGCCTGAGCATTAAAGGGATCAGAAATATTTTGGACATCTCCAGCACTGCCCAGTGACACCATTGCCAGGTCCCACTGCTGGGAGGGGATTTGCGATGGGGTTTGTGCCAGACCTCGCGCTTGCTGCTGTCTGCGGGCTATGAATTGCCCTGCGGTCCCAAACACCCGTTGTCCGTTCGGGTAGGAAGGACGAGGCGAGCACAATTAGTCCTGCATCGGATAACGACGCGGTTGTTGGGCTGTTCATTACTTTTTAATATTTCTGTGGGGGAAGGGAAGAGCTGATGTCTTTGGTGCACTGGGTGATTGTTGACCTTTCGTTTTAAATTTCCGCTTAATCTTTCGGCTGGAGGTAATCGGAGAAGGTGGCGGCCGGTGTCAGGGCCCTGCTGAAATTAGGAGTCCATCCCAAGATTGGAGAATCGGTTTTAATCGGCCTTTTCTCATTTCCTTTGAAAAATAGGACCCCTACTTGTGATCAGCATAGACGCAATGGAAGCTACTGATGTGCTATCGAACATGTTTTTGGGGATGGGAGAAAAACCTTCACATTCTTTCTAGCCCTATTTGTACTGTGAGACAGTAAACTGTGTTAACCGGTATCATCTTCCTTAAAAAAGAAAGGGGTCACAATGGCAGGATCAGTTTTTGGGGGAGGGCAGCAGGGTGTTGGGGTGTGCAGCCCTGCAGGGTGTTGGTGGAGGTGGGCAAGGCCTCTGAGGCACCGATGGTACCTGAGGAGGTGAGGAATCACCACTTTTATGCCTCTGGAACAGAATTTGCTGGTGCTGTGACTTACATCTTCAGCGACGACACTGAAACTGGGATGAAGGGTCTGCTTTAGAGCCCCATTTTTGCTGTGTGCTTTGGTTTTCAACCAAAGGTCAGATTTTGGTTGCAATGAAGGAAATCATCGAGTGACCCATGGCTGGGACCGGCTGAGGGGTCCCCGTGGCCCTGCCGGAGTGGGGACCAGGGTGGTCCGTCCTCCCCATGGCAAACGCAGCCCCTGTTAACCCAGGGCTGGCTTTTCCTCAGGGTTCACGTGGGTCCCTGAGATGCTCTGATGCTTCTCAAGTGTTTCAGATATGGGAGCCATGAGCTGGTGCTCGCTTTTTGCCTGTACCTCGAGAAAAGCGGCTCCGAAATGGAAGGGGTCTGAATTTCACACAGAGCGCTACAGAAAATAGCTCTTTAGCAGCAACACCTTCTTCCTGCGCAGAAAATTAACTTGAATTTGAAAGATGCTGTGCGGTGCCTTGAGTGCTGTTTTATGCTGCTGTATTTCAGGGGTTTGTATAATCTGTTGCCAGTAAAACCTAGGAAATGAAGACAGCAGATTTGTGTCTGTGGAACAGAAATCCTTGCTTTTCCGGAGGATTGCTCAGGGAACATCCAGCAGCCGCCTGGCCCTGTGTGAGGATTAGGCCTTTTAGCAGCTGGTAACAGGCGTCTGAGTAACCGCGGTTAATTCTGTTGGATGTACGAGACTTGCTTTGAAGTTTATGATATTACAGAAAGAAGCCCCATAAATGAGGCTGGCTCGGTATGGCCGGGGAGCCGGGAGATGAGGGCTGTGGGCGCTGGGGAGCGGGTGCTTTATCTCGGGCCATGCTGTGTTTCGCTGTGCTTCAGTTTTTGGAGGGCGTTCGCTCTGCAGAGGTTAGGGAGAGGGCTCGTCTGGAGGAGGCTGCAAAAACAAGTGGTAGAAATATTCCTTGCGCGTTGGCTGGCTTTGTGCAGCGTGGGGTTAGAGAGCCGCTTGTGTGGGCTTTATGGAAGCTAAATGGAGACGTTGGCGCATATTTATCGCTGCTGTGTTAGAGGGAGCTGGGCGCGGGAGCAAGGGAGGTGGTGAGGAGAGATGAGGGTGCAGAGCATCCGTGGGGAAGGATGGGTGCACACATGGGTTCAAAGCATCCCTGGGGGTGGATGGGTGTACACATGGGTGCAGAGCATCCCTGAGGATATATGGGTGCACACATGGGTGCAAAGCATTCCTGAGGATATTCGGGTGCCCATGTGGGTGTGGAGCATCCCTGGAGATGGATGGGTGCACACATGAGTGCAGAGCATCCCTGGGGATGGACGGGTGCACACATGGGTGCAAAGCATCCTTGAGGATATATGGGTTCTCCTGTGAGTGTGGAGCATCCCTGGAGATGGATGGATGTGGAACATCCCTGGGGATGGATGAGTGCACATCTGGGTGCAGAGCATCCCTGGGGATATACGGGTGCCCATGTGGGTGCGGAGCATCCCTGGGAGCAGGCTGTGGGTGCTGCTGTGCCGGGCTCCCCCTTTCGCCCTGCTCTGACAGCCGAGCCGTGCTATTTTGCCAGCTGGCTGCACAGCGCTGTCAACGCGGTGTCATTCAACGGGTGACAAAAGACACCCGGCTTGGGTTGCCCCGGCCCATCTGGTTACAGGTAAAACAGCCGCTGACAAATGAGAAGGCGTAATTACCCTTCAGGGCTGGACGCGGCCCCGCGCAGGGGGTTTGGGTGGTAGCGGAGGGTGAGGAGGCCGTTCTGCAGATGGGGGTAACTCATTAGTGACACTGGAGCCCAAACAGCTGCATCCTGCTAATGAAGAGCAGCATTTCGTATACTGCTGCTGTTCGAGAGTGGTGCTCTTGTGCTTTTTGCAGAGGCTGGGACTCTCAGAGCGACCGAGAATTTGGGGACCCCCCCCTGTGCAGGCGGTGCCGTTCTGGTGGCCAAATCCGACCCCGGCTCTGAGGCGCTCGCCCAGCGGCGCCGTGATCTGTGGATGGGTGCAAACGGGGCCTCGGGCTCCAAATGCAGTGTCCAAGGGGGTTTAAATGCTGTAATTTTTATCTTAGCTGCAGTCTGCCTGCAGAAGTAGGTTGGAAAGGGAAAAACGCCGCTGAGGAGCAGACCAGGTGCGGGAAGAGACCCTGGTGCGTAAACACCGAAGTGCATCAGGTTTTCAGATGAGCTCTGTTGGAGGCTCTTTATACGTTACCACTGCTGAGGATCAATGGAGTCTGGGAATTTTCTGCTCTGCTCTTAACTTTCAAGTGATTTCCCTTTGAAGACATAAAATATCTTGAGAGAAACCTATTTAAAAGAAGTGCAAATTACACTCAGAACAGTACTTATCACCTCTTGAGATTTCTCCCTAAGGTTTAACTTGATTTATAGTTAACAACAACAACAAAAAAGGGATGAAAATCGGTCCTTTTCCCAATTGTGCTTATTTCCTGGGGAGAAAATGGCCGCAGAGAGTGGGTTGGATGTGGATGGTGTGGCCAGCACAGCGCACTGAGAGCTTTGGGAGGGCGAGGCCGTGCGTTTCTGGCCCTAAATGTGATTCCCGTTTCCTGTGTGGGATGGATTGAGTAATTAATTGTGATTAAGGGTGCAAATGCACATTTCCCCTGCTCGTTCGATGTCTGTGCGCTTGCCCTCGTGTCTGTGGGAGCCGCTTGTCCCCAGACACGCAATGGCAGCACCGGAGCGGATCTGAGCTCGGTCACACAGCCTGGCAGAGGCACGACTGCTTTATTCCTGCAAGAACAACCATAATGCAGGCTGGAGACAACGTTCTCACTAAATTGGGGTTTACCTGTGAAAATAAACACGTGGCAATTGGTGATGGTGAAGAACGTTGGGCTGTGGGGAGCAGAGGGGCTGAGGCATCCCCAGACTGAGTGGGGCTGGGGGAGACAAGGAAGGGACCCCCTGGAAACCATGACCCTGGTGTAAACCCCAGCTTCTCCTCACTCCTCTTTCTCTGTGGCTGTGCTGCTGGGCTCATGCACCTCTTTCTGTCTGCTTCTGTCTCCACCCAGGGCAGTGACGGGGACTCGGTGGATAAGAACAAATGCTGCACGCTGTGTAACATGTCCTTTACCTCGGCGGTGGTGGCCGAGTCGCATTACCAAGGGAAGATCCATGCCAAAAGGTTAAAGCTGTTGCTGGGTGAGCAGCCGGCGTTGAAGGCCGCAGGTGGGTGCTGAGTGCGCGGGGTAGGGTCGTGGTGCTGTGCCGTGGTGGTGATGTGGTGGTGCTGTGCCATGCATGGTCCTGTGCTGTGGTGATGCTGTGCTGTGGTGGTGCTGTGCTGTGGTGCTGTGCCGTGGTGATGGAGACGGATGCCGGAGCACTGGAGGCCATTGGCAGTGGCTGTCCATTTGTGCCGCTGCCATGACGAGCTGTGCTAATTGCCGATGCTCGTTGCTGGGCGCAGACAAGCAGGTCGTGGTACCAGCCCTGTCGTTGGCTCCGTGTTTCCAAAACATTTTGCTCGGTGAAGGCAAATCTCTCCTCTGGGCACCAACAGCTGAGCCAGGCTTTAATTATCAGAAGTTATTTGACAGCTGAGGTAATATGTTTAATAAACCTTTCGTGTTACTGTACAGAATATAATTTGCTTTTACCTTAGAGGGAAACCCAGTCTTTAGGAGCTGCTGGATGGATTGGCTTTTGATTCTTGCCCAGATGGGGTGTTCACGCTTTCCTCCACAATGATTTCAATAATGCAAGCCTGTTAACTTCCACATTTAAAAAGTCAGATGCTGGAATCGGATAATTTAACTATCTTATTGTTTGCTTAACCATAAACTCCCTGCAAACCGCTAATAAACTGTGAAACAAAGCTTCCCCCGTGGTTTTCAGGCCAGAGGATGCTGGAGCGCAGCGTTCTTCATGCAGGATGAGTGGGCTGTAGTCCTGTATTTCAGCATTGCCACTGGTGGCCCTTCCCTCGGAACAGGACATACGTTTGCTGTGCATTTTACATCCTGCCCAGCACCACGTGCGTGGATCCTGGATGGGACTGAGCAAGGCGGGTGGCTCTGTGTGTGTGTTTGTTGCTTTCTTGACTTTACCGACTGTTGATGCTGATGCAGGGAATATTTGCATTTGCCCTTTACTGGGATTGGCTTGGGAAACGTTGTCCCTTTGCCCGCGGGGCATCGCTGTGGATGGTGCTGTCCTTGCCTCAGCTAACGAAGGTTCGTTAATGAGGGTGCAGCAGAGCTGACCGCCAGCCCCGCTGTACTCCCCATGGATCCAGGGCCCTGTGGGGGCTCCTCCAGAGACGTGGCTTTGCTGGTTTTTCTCTTAATTTTTTAATTGCCTGAATTGGCCCCGTGGAGGCCCTGAGTGTGCCTGGAGCAAGGGGCCGTCACCTCCGCGGTCACAGGGAAGGGGCGGCTCAAGGATCCTCAGCTCCTCCCAACTCTGGAGCTGGGAGATGAAGCTGGGCTGCAGCAGTGCGTTAACACCACCTCCCTGCTCTGCAGGGCTTCCCCTTTGTGCCCTTTGCACACAGCAATTTTCTGGGCTTCCCACAGAGTTGCCCAGTGTTTTTCCACTGGATTTCTATGTCTGGGTGGTGCCTGTGCTGGTTTTGGTGGCAGGATTTATTATCCAGCCGTTTTCTGTCCCAGCTCCATGGCAGGGCACTCCCAAGCCCATGTACTTCATCCTCAGAGCCCTGCCAGCGTTTCAGCGTCAGCTTTTCCTCTCGTTTTGCTGCTTTCTGGTGTTTCCAGGAGAGGGAGGAGGCCGTAACAGTCGTGTTTTTTGCGATGGGAAGGCGATGTCTGATCCCGACAGCGAAGCATTCGTGCTCTGTGCTGTCTCTGCTGCTGTACACGGTTGCAGCCCTCCGAGGCTTCGTGTCACCGCGATGAATTTCTCCAGTCCTTGCTAACGTCCTCTGGCAGCCTGGATCCTGTCCCCGCCTGGGTTGTAGAGCAGAACCAGGGCTGAAGCAGCCGCTGCCGTCACCGACCGCACCGTGGGTGCCCATGGGCCCCGTCAGGGGTGGGCGCTGGTGGTGGCCGCTGAGAGGGGCGATGGTGGCGCCGGGGTCCCCTCTGTGTTTGGGGGATACGGGTGGGATTTTGCCATCAGTGGCTTTTCCACCTCCTGCCATTCCCGGTGCGGGGTTGATTCCAGTCAGGACGCAGTGAATGGCATTGGGTTCGGGTGTGAGGACCCGTCCAGCCAGCTGGGGTCTGCCTGACCCCACCTCTGTTTTCGGTAGAGAACTGGATTTCTCCGTGCCCACAGCCGTGGCTCAGCCATTTCTCATGCTCAGTTACCGGAGAGTGGCGATGATAAAATTTGGGTGCCATTTAAGTACAGCTATGAATAAAAAGCTTTGCATGCAAGAAATAAGTCAAACATTAGTTCATTCCCGGAGTGCTAAAGTGTTTCTAACTTTATATTTTGCTTCTTGCAGCAAAGTAAGACTTTCTCACTTCCCTCCCACAGCAAAAGGGAACGTAAGGCAGACTGTCATGAGCTATTTAGCATTTTGAAATACTTGAAATAGTCAAACCAGCAGCTTTTATGTTTGTGTTTCAGATGGAGAAACATTTTTAACATTTGACGTTTTGTGAGTGTTTATTATTAATTTTCGTGTCGCCGCTCGCCGAGTGATGATATTTTGTGTTCTGTAGTAGTTATGCAGCGCATATCAGAATGATAAATCCCCATTTGTGGAGCAGTCAGCTTTCACCCGTTTCTCTTCAGGAGGATGGGGAAGATGCGGGATGTTTCCATTAATTGCTGTGCCCCAGGACTGGCCGTGGTGGTTGTAAATGGAGCTGAAGGAACAGGGCTTTACCAGGGAATGTTTTGCGTGGTCTGTGCTCAGAGGAAGCCCCGTGTCTGTGCATGGGAGATGAAACCGCTGCCGACACCACCAGCTCCGCTGAGCCCTGCTCCCCCCGCAGCCGCTGACACAGAGACCAGAGGAAGCTGCCCAAGAGACTGGATGGGTTCAGCTGCACAGCCCGGGGCTGGTGAGCAGCACATCACGTATAGCCAGAGCTGGGAACCGGCATTTGGACCGGTCCAGGCGCGCAAACGCCTCTGCAGGGATGCGGTCCCTGCACCGTCCCTCACAGGGCATCTACAGAGAAATACCAAGGAACGGGCAATCTGTGCTTGCTTGGCGTGAGTCGAGCATGTGCGGTGTCTGCGTAATCCTGGTTTGCACAGGCGATGCTGTTATTTCCTGATGTTCCTCTTAGGCCCTGGGGCTGTGCTGCGCGTTCTGGCACTTTTGTTTGGGCATCTTGGAGGAACTGGGGCTGTGTCTCGGGCTGGAGCCGTAGGGGTTAGAGAAGGTGTTGTATTTTGGGAGCAGCAATGGAGTTCTGCCATGGAGGCGATGGTGATGATGAGGACAGTGGTGGTGGTGAGGATGGCAATGGTGCCTCCTCCAGCCATCCCGGCCGTGGAACTCCGATACCTTTGCCGTTGTCATCAAGAACAATAGCAGCTCATAAACCCCTGGAAATGGATAAGGTTGTCAGTAACGTTATACATAAGATAGAATTTCCTTGAGGAAAGTCAACAGACGTCCCTTCCCGAGCAGGTCAGCAGAAGATTTATCACAATATTAACTTTCGTGAGCCGCACAGTCACTCTTCAGCTGTAATTATCCATCTAAATACACCCCCCTGGTGCTCAGCGCTGCCATTCGGTGCCGGGCGCTGAGGTGGGTTCATCACTCACAGCCCCAGCGCTCGTCAGGGCCCAGCACGGAGCCGCTGATCAAAGGGGAGTGATCGCGCACCTCTGCGCCGCCTCGAAATTTGCCCGTTCCTGTGTCACGGAGAGAGCGGTTTGTTAATTATTCAGATAGCAGGCATTTCATCTGGAAAAGAAAAGAAAAGGAAAACCACATAAAAGGGAATTTTTGAATGAGGTGCGATAATTAAGCGCTAGTCATTGTATATTTTTGTATCCCAATGTTATCTGAACTTTTTCGCTTTAAACTGATTTTCCATGGCTTTGTGGCTTGTGCAGAGTAGGAGAGCTGTGGCAAACGAGGTGCGGGTCCGTTACGCAAAGGCTGATCACCCGATTTTCTTTGACATTATTTGGGGATCACTGAGCTCCCAGAGGGCCTCTTGGTGAATCTGAAGGGAAATGGGATTAAAGCAAGGTCGTGGGTTGCTGTTGCCTGTGAATTTGTGATTGAAGGTATCTGAGTGAGGGGACTCAATATTGGATGCTTGCTTTCATCTGTGACAATTTGCTATTACTGCAGCTTTCCCTATTCTTTCCGAGACCAAATAAATGGAAAGATAAGAATCCTGCGATAGCGACAGATCTGTCTCTCCACCTCAGGAGTGATGGCTTCGCATGTTTTGTTTATTCTCCACCAGCAATTTTTTCCTGGAAGTAGCAATTTAAGCAGGATAAGTTTAGCAGGTTTAGTCACAACAGCGATGAGAGCTGTAACTGCAGCGGGAGCATCCTCCTCTCCCAGCCAGAGAAATGTGGGTCCAAAGAGCAGCCCCATGCTACCATGTCCTGCTGCTTTTTCAATGAGAAAGGGTCGATTTCCGAGCAGAACCATCCAAAACACTCTGTAACCGCTGCTAATCCCCCCCCATGTCTAATGTGGGGTCTGCTGTGTCCCAGCCGAGCTGACCCCGTCCCGTTTCCCCCGCAGACCCCGTGCTGAGCCCCCTGAAGCAGGCGCACGGCGACAGCCCCGCGGCCGTGCCCTCGCCCCCGCAGCGCCGCGACTCGGACCGGTACTGCCAGCTGTGCGCAGCCTGGTTCAACAACCCCGTCATGGCGCAGCAGCACTACGACGGCAAGAAGCACAAGAAGAACGCGGCCCGGGCCGACCTCCTGCAGCAGCTGGGGAAGACGCTGGACCTGGGCGAGCTGAGAGGTGAGCGTGTTCGGGGTGCAGAGACCTGCTCCGGAGGGCTGGGGGCTGTGGTGGTGCCACCCTTGCCCATCGCAGTCACTGTTCCTGTGGTCAAGTGGCGCCGGGCAGACCATGCAGCTTCATGAAATTCCCATTGCTGTAAAACACAGGCCGACAGGCTGCAGGTTAGCAGCATCCTTCGGAAGTTGTTCCCTAGGTGTTTCCTTTTGCCTCTTCCCAAAATAGTCCCTTGAATCAGCGCGCACTTGTGTCCTTGAGCAAATGCGGGCTGTCCCCATGCACGGGGGACGCGCTCGGCCCCGCAGGGACGTGGGGCTGGGGACACACGGTGCTGGAGACAAAGCTTGGGGTGCTGGCTGTGTCTGTGGTTTAATTAGTGCTTCCACAGCGCTGCGACAGGCCCGGTCACCCAGATTTGGGCCTCGCACCCCTCCTGGAGGGATCCCCCATCATGCAGAGCCACAGCCGCAGCCTGGCTGGTGCTGGAGCCTTTGCGCATCCCAGTCCCTCCCAGTCACTCCCTGCGCTGGGGAAGGGCCGGCTCCATCACCCCGTGCCCGTTGATGGAGACGTTGCTAATTTGTGCCGCTGAGACTGCATTCTGCACAGAGCTCGTGTTCGATACAGGGCTGTAATTACGGGAGGAGAAGTGCGAGCCTCCTGGTGGAAGTTTTCTCTGTGGTCTGATTACAGCCCTGTGTGTGCACCGCGTGTCTGACTGCAGAACCCCGAGGAGAAAGTGCAGGTTTGGCTTTCAGAACCACGCGGGAGGGAAAGTCTGGTTTGCCAGCAAGACACGGCATTAACGTTTTAAAATACCCTTTTTTTTCCTCCTTGCTAAATGTAATAATTTTCCTTCCAATCCTAACGACTATGTGATGTATTGTGCATCTCTTGATCTCGGATAAACCTTGCCATGGTTATCCAGAGCCTCCGTGTGCTCCCCAGCGTGACTCACGATGCCATCAATGATTCATGTGGCTGAGTCACTGCCCGCTGCTGAAAATACGGGGGAAAAACCTGGGACAATAACATGGAAGTGCTCGGTACTTTGCACCGTGCCAGACCGGAGGGCGGCTGAGGATGTCATTAACTGTAAATGAATCGGTTGTGAAGTGTTTGATTCATTTAGCGCATGCCTGGGAGGGCTGTGTGCGCCCATCACCCTGTGCGGGTTCTTCACCGAGCACGCGGTCGGGGTTTGCAGCCGAGGTTGGCAGTGGTGGTTCGGGGGTACCCGCTGGGGTTGTCCGGGTGTTGGTGAAGTCCCGCCTGTGTCTGATGTGGTCACAGCCTGTGCCCTCCCTGCTCTGCGCCTGTTGTGCTGCCTCGGTGCTCACAGCAACACCAGCTCCTTCACTCTCCTCTCCGCGCTGCCCTCAGCAGCTGCTCCCGCCACAACTTAAATATTAATTCTATTTTGACTGCTGCGGGAGACGAGCATTTGATGCATTGTGCGAGGCTGGAACGAGCGGTGTCGGTTGAAGTGAAACGCTCCAGCAGCCTTTGATGTTGTGATAATGGCAATAATAAAATATTTATCAATAAATATGAATGTGTGTTTGGAGAAACAAGAATAGAGATGTATTTTTGGGCAACTGATATTTATAGGAAACAAAAGCATTGATCCCACTTGCCAAGTGCTCATCCTGCCATTTTGAAGTCTCATTTTCTTCTCAGAAATGAGAGAGAGGAGAAAGAAGCAGGGGAAGGAACCTCGCTGCCAGCAGCGCCTCTGCGGTCTGCATGGGTCAAGGCTGCGCAGGGGCCAGCACTGGAGCAGGGGAGGTCCAGGCCCCTGTGCTGGGGCTGCCCCGAAAACTCCGGCCCTTGTGGAGAGAGCACAGCAAGATGCCCTCCTTGGGGGCTGCTGCAGGGCTTGAAAACCCAGGCTTTAAGTGCATCAGTGCGGCTTTTCCCCTTTCCTTTTCCCTTTTCCTTTTCCCCTTTCCTTTTCCCCTTTCCTTTTCCCCTTTCCTTTTCCCTTTTCCCCTTTCCTCTTTTCCTTTTCCTTTTTCCCTTTTCCTCTTTTCCCTTCCCTGTCCGCAGTACAGCAGAGTCAGGACGGCTGCATGGGGACGCTGTCACCCAAATTCTTTGTGTTTTCAGGTAAATTGTCGTCGTTGCAGATGCTATCTTGGAAAATCAGGCAAAGAGCTGAGTTTTGTTTTCCTTCTCCACACATGATTTCTCTGTATGCCTTATAAATACTTCTCGTTCTGTGGTGTCACTTTGGGTTAGTAAAAAGCGATCTAACAAGTACTCCCCTGGAATGTTTCAGTGCATTTTATGCACAATGACATTAATGACTTCACTTGTTAATATTTTATTTAGTGGCTATAGGAGCACATTCAATTTTACATGAGTGTGTGCCATGGCGCGGGGTGGGGAATGCTGATGTGTTGTGAGGATGCAAAACGCCATGAATGCAGATGGAGCCCAGCGTTTCCTCACGGCCGTTTTCGGCAGAGCGAGAGGAGGGACAGGATTTCCCCCTTCATCATCATCACCGTGAGAGCCCTGACGGCTGCTGGAGAAAAATGAGTGTCCCCGGTTAGGAACTGTAATCGCTGATGGCGTTTCCACCTACACAAGTAATTAAGATTCAATAAGGCTGCTGTTAATGTATGCTGTTAAATTAGCTGCTGAGCATTAGAGCCTTATTACCTTAATTTAAAGTATTACCAGTTCTTACTTCCTCAGTCCCGAGCTCTGCCATGCAGCAGTCACAGAGCTCGGTCTGCAGCAAGGTGCTACACCTGAGCACTGCCTTTTCTGTCCTTTCCCATCCTTCTCCATTCTTTCCCATCCTTCTCCATCCTTTCCCATCCTTCTCCATCCCTCTCCATCCCTCCCCATCCTTTCCCATCCTTCTCCATCCTTTCCCTTCCCATTCGTCTCCATTCTTCTCTGTCCTTCTCCATCCTTTCCCATCCTATCCCTGTGTTGTGGCACTGATGTTCCTGGTTTCTGTCTCCTGTTGGTTTAATGAAGGAGCTGCAGCTATGGAGAGAAGGTTCGACTGTAAAACCATTGCTGCTGCATCGAGAATAAATCCAGTAAGGAGAGCATTCGTAAGCATATTTGCAATTTGATTCTTGTCCTGTGCCACATCACGACACACAAAAATATGGGTGACTATTTAAACACTTTCACGTTACTGCTTACTTGCTGTTTTCAAGTGCTCATCTAAATATTTTTGAAATATTTTTTAAAGCTGATGTTTCAGTTTATGCTGGACCAAGTTCCTAGGCAGGAGATGTGCGAGGTGTTGAGAAAGGTGGGGCTGTTGGGATAGCTGGAGTCTGAGGTCCAAAAAAGGAAAAGAGATTTTTTGGGAGCCTGTAGATGCAGCTGGGAATGGTGAGTGTGTGTGTAGCCTACGCGGCTAATTATGGTGAGCACAAACTGATCAGATTTGAGAATGCCATACATTACTTGTTCTAAATGAATTGTTTTAACAGTTCTGCAAAGAGATAATGCTGTGGAGAGCCAGTAGAGACCATTACATGGTGCATTAAAACCGAGCCTTGGGAGCGCCGCTGTTTTAGACCGAGCCTTTCAGTTGATTTGGAGGGGCTGTGTCCCGATCTCCATGCAAGGGAATCAGAGCAAAGCAGAAACCACCCCCCAGGGATGCTAACATTGCAATTCCCCTTTTTTTGTAGGAGGACAGGGCAGGAATTACTCCAGCATTGGTGGTTCGCTGTAACGCCGCTGTACATGCGATGCTGGTGGTGCTAATGCAGTCTGTGGGCCAAGGGAGTTATTGGGGCGTTAAAATACAATGGAGAGGAGAGAAGCAACCACTCAGCAGGGGAAGGGAGACAGAGTTGGGGTATGGAAACACCAAAATCCGCCATTATTCTCTTAATTTACGTTGGGTTTTGCCCTGCGTAGCGGGAGCGAGCGCCCTGTGGCTGCGGCTGCGGCTCCTCTGGGGGATGCCCAGAGGGAAGCAGGTGTTTGAGAGTGATGGAAACACCTCGAGCTGGGGAGAAAAGGGCCTGTTTCTGTAAATCTGCTCGGAAACAGCTGCTCGCTCTCCCCAGGGAGGAGTCTGGGGTCTGCACTCTGCCCCTGGGCTGTGATGCTGCCCTGGTCCCCCTGTCTGGGGATGCCAGCAGCCAGGATGCTGCCCAGCAAGGGACTGGTGGTGGTGGTGTAGTTCCTAAAGGAGGCTCCTCATTTCTCCCATGAGAAATTGATTTTGAACCCAGCCCATGGCCATCTCTTGGCTCAGGTCACTTCCTTATGGAAGGAGAATGAAATAAAATAATAATAATAATAATAGAAGTAAACAAATCAAGTCTACTTTTGCAGCTTTTGCAGGTGTGGCAGTTCTCATTCCCCTGTGATGGTTTTCCTGCCATTGCAATCCTGCGGGCTCCTGTTCGTGTACTGTGTGTGCAGGTCCTTTGGGTGAACAAACGCCTTTTCTGCAGTGCTGCAGATGCGAAGTTAT